AGATATTCTAGAATATATCGAGATATTCTAGAATATATCCAGATATTCTAGAATATATTCATATATTCTAGAATATATCCAGATATTCTAGAATATATCGAGATATTCTAGAATATGTCCAGATATTCTAGAATATATCCATATAATATAGAATATATTCAGATATTCTAGAATATCTAGATACTTTAAAATATTCTGGAGTAAGATGGATATTTCTAAATAATACATTTTGTGAAAAGGAAACCGAAGTTTTAAACCACGTGATCAATAAATTTTATTTGATCCCATTCAAATTCAAATATCTGATTGTGAACCAATGGATTAAAACAAATTGAATGTTGTTCCTTCTGTCACAGGGTGACACTGGAAAAGTGAACTTGGCAAAATATCTATACAGGGCGAAACCTAGAAAAGAGGGATCAAAAATAAAATCGGGTTTAATGCAAATTAACACTCTATCGTTAGCATTTTTTAAGAAGTAATATCAAGTTTTCCTTACAATTTAAAAAAAAAGAAGGGCGGCAGGCTAGATTCCCAATGGTATTCTTTAAACTCTATCTGAGTAAAAATTAGGAAGTAATTGTTTTTTTACTGCGAAACACATGAGACTCTCTAAAAAGAAATGATTCATCAAGTACACTGTCCAGTTTCACCGTTTTCTTTGGCAAATCAATTTTGTAGAGAAACCTCGATAGTTCTCTAGTCTATAATCTCTATCAACTAACATACACATAGTTCTCTAGTCTATAATCTCTATCAACTAACATACACATAGTTCTCTAGTCTATAATCTCTATTATCTAAACATACACATAGTTCTCTAGTCTATAATCTCTATCAACTAAACATACACATAGTTCTCTAGTCTATAATCTCTATCAACTAAACATACACATAGTTCTCTAGTCTATAATCTCTATCAACTAAAATAAACATACTTTTGTGAGAATTTTTAATTAACATATATGTACTACATACAATTGCAAAGTTACATCTTTATAAAAATACTAGAAGAGATCCCGGAAACGTAGAACCAGTTTAAAAAGTACAGTAAACACAGCGCATAAACCGGCCGGTACATAATATTAACAATAACATTTAAACAGCAACACCTATAAGATCTAAATATACTGCAAACTGTATAAAAGATCAAAATATTAGAAAAATTCGAATAATCAATTTTCAAGCAGCAAAGAAATTAATATTACAAATATCAGACCAATCTTACGATTCATCTTCTTATTAACAATCCCTTAATAAGAGAAGGTGTAGGATGGAGAAGGTGTAGGATAGAGAAGGTGTAAGATAGAGAAGGTGTAGGATAGAGAAGGTGTATGATAGAGAAGGTGTAGGATAGAGAAGGTGTAGGATGGAGAAGGTGTAAGATAGAGAAGGTGTAGGATAGATATGGTTTAGGATAGAGAAGGTGTAGGATGGAGAAGGTGAAGGATGGAGAAGGAGTAGAATGAAGAAGGTGAAGGATAGAGAAAGTTTGAGATAGGGAAGGTGCAGGATGGAGAAGGTGTAGGATAGAGAAGGTACAGGATGGAGAAGGAGTAGAATGAAGAATGCGCAGGATAGAGAAGGTGTAAGATGGAAAAGGTGTAAGATAGAGAAGGTATTGAATGGAGAAGGTGCAGGATGGATAAGGTGTAGTATAGAGAAGGTGCTGGATGGAGAATGTGTAAGACAGAGAAGGTATAGGATGGAGATGAAGCAGGATGAAGGAGGTGCAGGAAAGAGAAGGTGTGTAGAATGAAGAATGTGTAGGATACAGAAGGTGCAGGATGGAGAAGGTGTAGGATGGAAAAGGTCTAGGATAGAGAAGGTGTAAGATGTAGGATGGAGAAGGTTTAAAGAAAATGATAAAAGTCACAAGATCTAAAATTCTATTCCCAGAGACGGGCTCCCCTCGCTTTTATTAAAATACACAATTGGGAGTTCAAGAGTTGGGAAATGTCTGGGATAAACTGGATTTAAAGGAACCGGTGGAAATTTCCAGAAAAATAATTGAATAGAAAAGAATCTTTTATTTAATAAACCCCATTGGCACCCCATGAAGTTTAATTTTCAATTTTCATTTTCTATTTCATCAAGTCCTTCACCACCCTATCCACTGAAATCTCAGCAGGTTCACACATTTAACACAAATATAATCATTCCAACTGCAGAGAGATACAATACAATTTTAGCTCAGAGAAAATGGTGGGGAAAAATATAAAATTGGAAAGTTTTATGACAATGTAGGATAAAGGAAAAATGGAAAGGATAGGTTAGGAAGTATGAAATATAAATGGAAAGGATAGGTTAGGAAGTATGAAATATAAATGGAAAGGATAGGTTAGGATGTATGTAGGATAAAGGAAAAATGGAAAGGATCGGTTACGAAGTATGCAGGATAAAGGACAAAGGAAAAAGATAGGTTAGGAAGTTTGTAGGATAAAGGAAAAATGGAAAAATAGGGTAGAAAGTATGTAGAATAAAGGATAAAGGGAAAGGATAGGTTAGGGAAAATGTAGGATAAAGGGAAAGGATAGGTTTAAAAGTATGAAAGATTAAGGGAAAGAATAGGTTAGGAAGTCTGTAGGATGAAGGATAAAGGAAAAAGATAGGTCGGGAAGTATGTAAGATAAAGGGAAAAAGGAAAGGATAGAATAGGAAGTGTGTAAGATAAAGGGTAAGGGGAAAGGATAGGTTAGGATGTATGTAGGATAAAGGGAAAAGATAGGTTATGAAGTATGTAAGATAAAGGATAAAGGGAAAAGATAGGTTAGGAAGTATGTAGGATGAAGGATAAAGGGAAAAGATAGGTTAGGAAGTATGTAGGATGAAGGATAAAGGGATAAGATAGGTTAGGAAGCATATAAGATGAAGGTTAAAGTGAAAAGATAGGTTAGGAAGTATGTAGGATAAAGGATAAAGGAAAAATATAGGTTAGGAAGTATGTAGGATGAAGGATAAAGGGAAAAGATAGGTTTGGAAGTATGAATGATAAAAAAGATAGGTTAGGAAATATGTGTGATAAAGGATAAATGAGAGATAAAAAAGTAAGGAAGCTTAGGATGAAAGATAGAAGGAGAACGTTTAACAAAGATTTTAAAAAGTAAGAATAAATTTTGTTCACATTTAAATGAAATCTGGATCCATGTTAACTCCCCGAAGAGATTGAAAGACGTGCATGAGAATGAGATCAAGTAAAACCGAAGATAGTTGCCAACTGGAGATACCATTCGCTGTAGCCAGTGCAGTTGGAGAACAGTCACCTAAACGTACATAATTAAAGTTAGGGTTTCCATTCGCAAAACTTTTGCGCAATTTTTGCGGAACGAAGCGCAAAATTTTCTTTCTTTGCGCATCAGTTTTGCGCGAAAAAACAACAATTTGCGCAATCATTCGCAAAAGTCATTTCGCGCAAAATTGGCCTATTCCGCTTTTGCGAAACTCAAGTTTTACGCAATTCCACACCTAGAATTTTGCGCAATTCCACACCTAGAGTTTTGCGCAACAACACCTAGAGTTTTGCGCAATTTCGTAAAAATCAAACGGTTGGTGACGGTGTGTGTTTCTTAGAATTCAATTCTGGAAGAATCTTGTTTTGGAATGTCTTCCTATTGGTCACTTTTACATAATTGACCAATGACAGTTAAGAAGAGTTCAAATCTCACAATTTTCTCGACAATTTTAGTTTTGGACATGCATATTTCCTTAAACTGGATTCTTCAGGCATTGGTTACTTTCTTGCATTATTTTATATGAGATTAAAGAGATTTCAGAAATTTGATTAAAAAAATTTAAGAATATAATTCATACTTGATTAGGCAAAGCTTTTAAGGGTCACTTGAAATTATTTAATAGGATTAAAATATTGCCAAGTTTCACACTCTCTAATTTCTATTTTATTAATTTTGGTCCCTTAATTTAAACTTTTTGTAACTGGAAGTAACCAATTGAGTGTAATTGTTATGGAATAAATCTTCAGTTGTTTAATTCTTAGCTTAGAATATCAACTTTTGACAATTTGCCTAAAATGTTATATTTGCGTAAAACTTGCGGTTTTGTGCAAATTGCGCAAAATTAAAATTTCGTTTCATTCGCAAAAAATATTTCCGGTTTTGCGCAAATTGCGCAACACTCATTGCGTTTCATGCGCAAAAATAGTGCAAAAGTTCGCCAAAAAAAATTGCGCGAAAATAGCGAAAATTTTGCGCAAAAGATTTAGCCATTTCGTGGAAAACCTAATTAAAGGGATTGTAAGCGTAATTTCAAGTGACCCTCCATACAAAGATGACAATGCCCAATTCCCAAGGGTACCCTAAAAGTTATTAGATATCAATGTTTTTAATTTTGAAAATTTACTATCTTCAATTATGCTATAGGACACTGCAATCTTTACACGGAGGATAACTTTAAATTACGCTCACAGTCAATTGATTTCAATTATTTACAACCTTAAGTCATCGATTATTTTTCGACGCATTCGTATATAGTTAATATTTGTTTTATATACAATTTGCACTTAAAACGACGTTTTTTCCGCTAGGTGTCTCTGCCACGTGTAATCATTCAAAGCATCGACAGCAGAGCTGGTGGCAAACTATTTACGAATTCGTCGAAAAATAATCGATGACCATAGGTTGTAATATCTGAATGATTTGTTTGAAATTAAATTGATTTTTTACGATCCGAGTCGTATATTGCAACTTTCTGAATTGGTATTGACGTTATGTTCTTCAGCATAAGCGTTTTTAACAATTTTCTCCTTATAGACGCAACAGATAGAAGTAAGATTAGTAGCGATCGAAAGGGATAATTTTTCGCCTTAAGCCTATACCCCCCCTTCATGTCTTTTGCGAACACTCCCTTTAAATCCATGAAAATATTTGGGTTCAGAACTTGGCATTTTTAATCTTTTCAGAAAGCATCTCTCAGTATATCCTGCAATTCGGCGAATTAAAATGTCTCCTTTCGGATAGTTCTCCGAGATTAGAAGTTTTAAGAAGAGATTTTCTGCTAAAAAATGAAACAAAAGAACAAACCAAAAGAAAGCCTAATTTTATTTTTCATTTGAACTAAATCATTGCAACAATAGTTTAAAGAGCTATAAATAATCAAATTTTTTATTTTTAAAATTGAGTTTCTGGCACAAATGTAAAATCTGAACTTAACCAGCCGTGTCGTAACATGTCAAACCTTTAAATTTACCGAGTCAACAGTTCAAAATAAAACTGAAATCCTCCACCTGGATAAAATGTCCTTTTAAACTAACGTATGGACATTGAATTAAACCTCAATCGATCATGCTTATTAAAAAATTTTATATAAAACCATAAATTCACTCAATTAATGGCATTTTGAATTTCAAACATCTTCTCAACTCAGTTTTTTAGAATTCTTTATTAAATAGTTAATTGTCCAAACCAGGTGTGCTGAGTGAAATATTAGAGTCCAAAATATCTGAGAGTAGAAATATTAAATTAATTTATAATCTTAAACTCTGAAAACCTAGCTAGGACTGAGAAGCCCAAAATAATGTACAGTGATAACCAGAAAACTCTAAAATACAATCGATTTGTAATTTTAAGAAGTCCAATGAGCAAGAGTCAAAACTATTGTGCAGTGTAAACAGACCCATTTCACTACAGTAGTGATTTAATAAGCGTCAAATAAATCAATTTGCTTTCTAACAAAATCAAATTTGCTTTGTAACAACATCAAATTGTTAAAATTCTTCTTCCTATTCCATTGTTTTCTGGTTATTACTGTATTTATCTTTTTTGCATTAGAAATCATTTTGAAATGAACTTAATTTAACAACTACATTTTTTATAGATTAGGTATTGTATAACTTTAACTTACCATGATAGGTTGTCGCAATCTTTTTTGAATCACCAGTTGTTTCAGCTTCCGTATCGCACGTGGTTCGCACAACAAGGCTCAGGTCGTCTTTGGTCTTATTGACGATAATACAGAATTTCTTGGCACTAAAACAAAGTATTTATTTATTCATCTCTGTTATCGCAAAATTGTCAAAAAAAAGCTGGAAAATATTAAGATAAACATTCTATTTTTAAACATATTTTTTGTCTAATTAAAACCTTCAACATAATAATTATTGTACAGAAGTCCGCCCCAACAAACTAACATTTCATTAAAAATAATTGCTCAACAAATATTTCTCCGATTGAAACGTCTGCCAAGTTTATTCTTTTCCCCTAGCTGGGTATTTGTAAAACAGTAAAGAAAATATATTTGATATTTTCTTAATAATATTATTTTATTCTTTATTTTATTAGAAAATACTAAACTCTTGATACTATAGGAAAGGATCAACTATTCTCAATATTTTCCCATAAAAAAATCAATGTCTTGTTGATGATTTTCAATATAGATAATGCCAACAAATAAATAGATTCGTTTACACTAGACAAACATAAATATTGGAGACAGGAGGCCAGGTGGTAAAAGAAATATTTGATGCAAGTAAAAAATGTGAAAATTCAACAGGGAATGTTTAATAAAATTTAAAAAATGGAAGTTAGAGTATAAAAATAAGAGTAAGAACGGTGAAGAATAGAAAAAAGTTTTTAAGATTTCAAATATAGAAAGTATTATGAAGAATAGAACGATAATGGCAGTAATGCAGAGCAAAAAAAATTGTAAAATGTCAAAAAATTTTCTTTCTATGTCTAGATTGACTTTATGAAAAATTGATAAACATTTAGTTGTGAATCCACTATGTTCCCCAGTCTAAATTGCATTTTTAAAATTAACAAAACTGGCCAAAAAGGTTTAAGCTGGATGAAAGAGGAAGAAGAGATTGATGTCCTATCAATCTTACCAATCTTTGATTTGCTTTAAAATCGTCATTTGTTTAAAAGAAATGAGTTCTTGCCACTAACTCTGATTTTCTAACCCCTATATCTGTGCAACCCGATGTCATAAAATTTTGATATTTCAAACTATGAATTCTGTTAGATCGAATAGTTTTACTTTAAAATATCAAAGGTTTACACCATCAGAAAAAATATAGGGATTAGAAAATTTGAGTTTGTGGCAAGAACTCAGTTCCTGGGTTCAATCTGAAATATGAACGTTTTTATTATATAAACAGTAAATCTGCAATTTACCATTAATACAAGAAGATGGTTCCCGTTGTGAAAGCTCTTAAGCGAGTGATAAAAAGTCCACAACGCATTTTTTTACATTAAGATTTGCAGATTTTCTTAGTACATTATAAAATGACCATATTTTATTAGTTGAATCTTTGAACAGAATGAACAAATCTCCAAGACTAACGAATTTCAGTTATTTTAAAATTTGCTGGATGAGTAGGACAACCTGGATACTATCTATGTACCTTAAAGCGGACTGTGAGAGAATCAACATCTTCTGATTCAACCCTGTCTCCCAGGAGTCATGACAGTTATAATCTAAACACAAGAATCTATATAAATAAAGTAGTAATCTCTGTTTGTCCGATCATAACACATGAACCGATTTGCCACAATTTATGATAAAGGAACTTTTAAAAGGAAAACTCCATGCAAAGCTGGGTTCCCAAGCTGGTAGAAAAAAGTAGGTTAACTTCAGACTTTGTATGTATCCGGAGAGTTGGGGAGTTTGCAATGGCTTTCTTCCTAATCCTTCCTTGGTTTTCCCAAATTTAAATCTGAATATGTTGATCATGCAATAAACTCTAGTCTAGCTCCACCCCTCGAGTTCTCTTTATACAAAGTTCTCCTCTAGTTCTCCTCTAGTTCTCATCTAGTTCTCCTCTAGTTCTCCTCTAGTTCTCCTCTAGTAGTGTATTCCTTGTATTGTCCATATTCTGTTGGTTTTGTGGAAGGAAATGTCCTTTTTCCAGGTTTTAAGTGTTTAATTCTGAAAATTCCTAAACGTTTTCCTGCAGTAGAAATGCGAAAGTCACTTATTTAGAGAACCCATAATTAAAAATAATAAACATTGCTATCTAATTGAAACTTGATCCGACAAAACTTTAAAGGGCACCAATGTGAACGAGTATTGCCAACTTTGCATAAAGGTTTACTTAAAATTACGCGTACACTCCCTTTAAGCCAGGTTTTCCGAACTCTAGTTCTCTAATGCATACTTTGTTCTAAAATGTTTGTTCTAGTTGCATCCAGTTTACAATAAAGGACAGAGCAAATAAAACACACTTGTTAGTTCTCTAGTTCTCCTCTAGTTCTCATCTAGTTTTCCTCTAGTTTTCCTCTAGTTCTCCTTTAGTCCTCCTCTAGTTCTCCTCTGGTTCTCCTCTAGTTTTCCTCTAGTTTTCCTCTAGTTCTCCTCTAGAACCTCGAGAGATAAAACTAAATATTCAAAATAATTCCCCTGGGAACAAAAAGATATTAAGTTAGATAGAAACCCAGATAGATAAAGGACAGCAGAAAAGATAAGAGAAAGGATGGAAGAATGGATAAGATGGATTAGGAGGATGGTTTTAAAGATGAATGAATATTATGAGATATGACGGATGGAAGAAGTGAAGGTTAACAGGCTGTATCTTTTGAATGTAATATAGGATAGAATAAGAAAGTAAATTTTAAAAATCCAGACTTTAAGGATTAATGCAGGATGGATTAAAAGATCAAAGGATTAAAGCCTAGATGGATCAAATGATTGAAGAAATGAAGGATTAACGTTTCAAGTCTACTAAACTGTAAACTGCAAACTGTAAACTGCAAACTGTAAACTGTAAACTGTGAACTGTAAAATGTAAACTGTAAACTGTAAACTGCAAACTGTAAAAAACTGTAAACTGTAAAATGTAAACTGTAAACTGTAAACTGTAAAATCTAAACTGTAAACTGTAAACTGTAAACTGTAGATAAATGTTTTTTATATCTCGCATACACTAATAACACAGTATCATACTTCATATCTTTGTATCTTTGCACTGATATAAAAATTTACAAGTAACAAACATATTTGTCTCTTTAATCTAAATGTAATTGTATTTACGCACATATTTATGTTGTTTTTCATGGCAATAATATAAAGATAAATTACGAATAAAACGCGAATTGATTTTCATAATTACAAATTATTATTTTTTTTTAAAGAACAATATTTTAATTTACAAAACTAGGGCTTAAAGGCAAAAATGCTATGATTGCATACAGGCCAGGAACTATTTGAAAAAGTAAGATTTGTTAAGTTATATTCCAATACCAGGATATTATCTCTATATTCATTTAAAATACCTTGAACAGATTTTCCACAGTTATGTGAGAATGTTAGAGTATGTGTGTTTGTACATGAGGAGAGAAGAGAAGGGCACTTTGTATTCATGTCCACCTCAGATACAGAGGAGATATCCAGGTCCATCTTAGGTACGGAGGAGATGGACACTGCTGCTCCTGGAGACAGATCAGATCTGATCTTGTATTGTCCACTCAACGGACAAACTTGGCTGCTCAAATGAAGACCTAAAACATGCAAATTATAGCTTTCTATGCCAATATAATTGCGGCAGAATAAATCAGAGCATTTTAGAAGATTTTCTTTTCATTACGGGGATTTGAAAAAATTAGATGTGACACTTCAATTGTAGAGTGTAGAGTCTGATTTACAACAGTGTAAAGCTGTACGTGTATGATGGTCAAGAATGAATTAAAACGACAGTCCCGTTGAGATAGATTAAAACAACTTTCGCGCCAAAAAGATTGCACACCTTTTCCTGCCAGGGGGGTCCATGTCAGTCTGTTTTCCTTAAATTTCCCAAACCCACATTTTTGTATAAAGTAAAGCAATGTGATCTATATTAAAAGATGGAGAACTAAATATGAATTATTGAGAGGAAGGAAGGATGTGGAACAAGGATTTATTTCTAGAAAATATTCATGTCACGAACACAGGGAAATATTTTCTTAAATTGTATTTTATTTAAAACTTTATAATTCTCCGGAACCAAGAGAAAATGTAGTAACAATTCTTCTTTTGTTTTGTTATATACATAGCAGATTACACCAGGCCCGTAGCTGGGGGGGGGGGGCAGAGAGGCACGTGCCTCCATTTTACACTTAAATGAGGGCACAGATGTGGCACACATTATGAGACAATAAAGAAGAAAAAGAAGAAATGAAAAGAAGGAAACAAAAAATGAAAGAATGAAGGAAAAATGGGGAGAAAATTGGCAAAAAATCTAATTTTCGTTTCAAATATTATGTGTAAAGGGTTATTTTTTCTTCAAATTAAAGAAAAATTGACTGTTTTCTGAACTAATTATTTGGGAATTTTTATTTCTATCCTGTCTTGTGAAATCATAGGATTTAAATACACTTTTTTGTATTTTGAGAAACTTATCCTTTTTCCTTCTGTTCTTGGATAAATGTAAAATAAGAAAAAGACAAATTTAGATTATGTACAAATATGTCCAGTTTCAGGAGAATTTTTCGAATTTTAGTTTCAAGAAAACTGATGATTTTCATGCTTGAGCTTTTCTCGGTCTTTACAGTATTGGCTAGTCGTGATAAAAAATTCAAAATTTTTTTTTTTTTCAATGACACTTAAGGGAAAGAAAACAGGCTAATTATCTTTCTCAATACACTTTATTGTATGAAAACTTAGAGATCTAACTTTTTAGTCTTCTTTAATCAATTTTGACCCTTATTGAGTTTTTCAAGTGAAAAAAAGTTTCCCCTGCGGCGCGTACCTATCTTAAACATCTATGCTATTTTTTTATTTTGTGCCCCCCCCCTTTACAAATTCCAACTATGAGCCTGGAATACACAGATAAGTCCTCCAAAGTCTAATCTATTGAGGACTAGTCTATTTTAGTGTAAACTAGTCTAATCTAGGGAATATTAGTCTAATCTAATCTAGTCAAATCTAGTGAAAACTAGTCAAATCTAGTGAAAACTAGTCTAATCTAGTGAAAACTAGTCTAATCTAGTGAAAACTAGTCTAATCAAGTAAAGATTAGTCTAATTTCTTGTGGAAACTAGTCTAATCTAGTGAAAACTAGTCTAATTTAGTGAAAACTAGTCTAATCTAGTGAAAACTAAACTAATATAGTGAAAACTAGTCTAAACTAATAAAAACTAGTCTATACATCTTATACAACCAGACCACTTCGTTACAATTAACCCACTGTTTATAAAACCAAACTACATCTTATAAAACCAAAACCATCTCTCATAAGGACGTGAAACCTCCTAAAACTGCACATACCTATATAAATTACATATTGCAAACTCAATTTGTACAATTCAGCTTGGAAAGAACAATAGAAAAACAGGCATTAGAAGAGATTTATTTGTCCAAGAACTAGATACAAGTTAAATATGTTAGGTTAAATTGTTTCTACACTTTACAATTGTAAGTTGTGTATTGTGTATTGTGTAGAAGTGTTGAAGTACAGTTGTTCGCCTAGAATTTATATCTTTTCTGCCCAATATATTTGTTGCAGCAAGAACCAATAAGAAATATCAAGAAATTTCGGTGGAAATGGAAACTGTCAATTTCCGGAAAGGTTTCTCCGGGTAGGAATGAGAACAGGGATTCATAAAAGTTTCTAACTATGATTAAAATGATGAATAATATCCTGAAGAATATGCCACTCAACACAATAGAGAGTTATGTCACGTCAAGTATGAAGAGCTATATAGAATTTATATTGAATTTTTGAAGCTGAAGCAGACAAATCCATGTCAGGGCGGAGGAGGAGAAATGAAGCGTTCTGCTTAGGTTTCAGATTTAGATTCAATATTGAATATCTAACCTAGATACATTGGAACCAATAGCTTAGAATACCTTGGAACCTGGAATTTAGAATATATTGGAACCTTGAGTTTGAGATACATTGGAACCTGAAGTTTAGGATACATTGGAAGTAATAGCTTAAGGATTCATTGGAACTTGTATCAAAGGATATAAAGAACCTGTATCCGGGGACACAAAGAACCAAGAATACAAAGTACCTGTATCCAAGGATAAACTATAGAACCTTTATCCAAGGATAAACTATAGAACCTGTATCCAAGTATACACTAGAACCGGTATGCAAGGATACACTAGAACCTGTATCCAAGGAAACAATAAAACCTGTATTCAAGGATAAGCTATAGAACTTGTATCCAAGTATACACTAGAACCTGTATCCAAGGATACACTAGAACCTGTATTCAAGGATACACTATAGAACCAGTATCCAAGTATACACTAGAACCTATATCCAAGGATAAACTAGAACCTGTATCCAAGGATACACTTGAACCTGTATCCAAGGATACACTAGAACCTGTATCCAAGGTTACACTTGAACCTGCATCCAAGTATACACTTGAACCTGTATCCAAGTATACACTAGAACCTGTATCCAAGGATACACTAGAACCTGTATCCAAGTATACACTAGAACCTGTATCCACGGTACACTAGAACCTGTATCCAAGGATACACTAGAACATGTATCCACGGATACACTAGAAGCTCTATCCAAGGATACACTAGAACCTCTATCCAAGGATACACTAGAACCTGTATCCTGTATCCAAGGATACACTTGAACCTGTATCCAAGGATACACTAAAACTTGAAGTTGTTGAATGATAGTTTTATGAGAATAACATGAAGGGAAGTTGGGCAAGGTTTGACATCTAAAATATATATTTGCAGTTTTCAAACTGTTGCATATCAACGCTTAAATATAACTCAAGAAATTGAGAAATATTTTCAATCTAAGAATAGCGGAGTGTATTCCTTGTATTGTCCATATTCTGTTGGTTTTGTGGAAGGAAATGTCCTTTTTCCAGGTTTTAAGTGTTTAATTCTGAAAATTCCTAAACCTTTTCCTGCAGTAGAAACTTTATTAAAACTTGATCCGACAAAGCTTTAAAGGGTACCGTTGTGAACGAGTATTCCCAACCAAAAGGTTCACTTATAATTACGCGTACACTCCCTTTAAGCCAGATTTTCCAAACTTGAGATCTCTAATGCATACTTTGTTCTAGTTGTATCCAGTTTACAATAAAGGACAGAGCAAATAAAACACACATGTTAGTTGAATACACGGAGCACTGGTTCAATATAGACTTGGAGAAATTGATCCTATTTATTTGAACAACAGGATATTGTTTTCAATGGTGTCATCTAACCTATACGCNGCCACAAACTCTGATTTTCTAATTCCGATATCTTTGCAACCCAAGGTCGGAGAACTTTAATATTTGAAACTAGGAATTCTGCTGGATCAAATAGTCTATAAGTTTAACATATCAAAGGTTTACACCATCATGGAATTAGAGAGGGAAGGAGTCCATTCTTTTACGAAGAAAATGATTACTCGAATCAAACTCTGTTTTAAACTTCAAATCTTAATAATTTATCTGGAAGAATTGATAGTTTCATATTTCAGGTAGCAAAGATACAATAGGATTATAAATAATAATTTTCATCTTTAAAAAAATATATATTTCTATTTGTTTGCTGCATTACATCATTGAAAGCCAGTTTTGGCAATTAAGATATCCTTAGTTTTCTTTATTGTCAATAATTAAAGATCAATTATAGAAATAATAATCTTAATTAATCGAATATTTGAAGATCATTTACAAGAAAGGAGCTTTTCTTCAGCAAAGAGTTGGAAGAAAATGGTTGAAAGGAATCTAGTTTTTGCCTCAAACTCTGATTTTATATCCTCTATATCTTGGCAACCCAAAGTCGAAGACCTTAGATTTTTCAAATTAAGACTTCTGTTAGATCAAATGATTAAAGTTTGAAATATCTAAGGTGTACCCTATCAGTTGTTTAAGATATAGGGATTAGAAATTTTGAGTTTGTGGCAAAGTATTATTAACTTTTCCTCAGCAAAGAGCTGGAAGAAAACGTTTGAGAGGAATCGAGTTTTCTGATTTCATATCCTTTATATCTTGGCAACCCAAAGTCGAAGATCTTAGTTTTTTCAAAGTAAGACTTCTTAAATAATTAAAGTTTGAAATATCTGAGGAGTACCCTATCAACTGTTTGTGTGGCAAAGACTCAATTACTAGAAATATAGTCAGTTTTAACTGCTTGTATAGATTTCAAAGGAATTGAGTCTTTGCAACTAACTAAAATTGTGTAATCACCATATCTTTTTACCCTGACAATGTAAATAATCACCATATCTTTTTACCCTGACAATGTAAATAATCACCATATCTTTTTAACCTGATAATGTAAATAATCACCATATCTTTTAACCCTGATAATGTAAATATTTGATATTTCAAATTAGGATTATTGCATCCCAAAAGAATTCAAAGTAAAAATAAATCTATGGTCTACGACATTTGGATGCAAAGATATAGAAATCAAAAATCAGAGTTTGTGGCAAAGACTCAATTCATTTATTTTATAGAAAAATAAAGTCCTATTTAAATGGTAAACTGGTATATGGATTCAGATCCTAAACCCTTTTTATTTTTCGTCAACACTTTATTTTAAAGAAAAAAAACTTTCTTTTAAAATTGTAATCATTTAATTCACTTTGAAAACTTTTAAAAACAACTTGTCAATAACATTCTAGTTTCCAATAATAAAAGTGTGTTTGCAATTGTAGTTTTTAATCCATTAGAGAAATAAATCCTAGCTCTAGGAAACTAACTTACTTGTCAGTAGAATAGGATGGATATTATTGAAGAAGAGTTGGGGATGACAGGCTTCATCCTTGGTGTGTGTTAATCTGCCAACCTGGAGACGAACCACGTTCTCCGAAACCTTCTCAAGCTGGACACATTGAAATCCACTCTCACTAAACAGTAAAAACCATTCTTAATTTTAACATTTTTTCCACAAATAATCTGTGTTTTTGTGTGTTTTTTTTTTATAAATCTTAAAGGGGCTGTATATTTGATTTTCAGTGACCCCCTACTTCAAGAGTTACATGCATGATTCACAACAGTACCCTTTTTTTCTGAGTAAAATATTATAAAGTAATACATGGTTTTAAACTAAAAATTGACAATTTTCACTTACAAATTCTCTGTAAAAGTGACTCGCGTGGTTTTGTAGCAGATACAAAATAAGGAAATATATAAAAGGTAGTAGGGATAGACAATTAAAGTTATTTTAACACTCGACTGTATTTTTGTGGTTTTCAAACAACACCTTGAAAGAATAAAACAAAGGGAGCAACGTATATAAACAGTAGTATATNATTTTTTATAGGGGGGGGGGGCTCAGCATTCGTTGGAGCCCAAACACCCCTTAAAACCCATAGATTTCCTAATCCAGGGGGGTGGGGAGCAGTGCCCTCTTTACCCCCCCCCTTCCTGAAATCTTATATTGTATAACCCTCAATACTCCTTGTTATTCCAATATTTATTATGTGAGTATGTTTTCATAAGAAACTAGTTCTTCAGATAAGTCTGAATACAAACCAATCTGCTGTACAAATACAATGCACGTTTTCATATTTCTCAAACCTTCCAAACATCTAATTAGAAATTATAGACTGCACTGCAGTCCTAGTTGGGTTCTACAGAGTACAAATCTAGAAAATATTTCGAACAAAGCTGGATTTTTAAAGAACATTGTTTTTATCTTTTCTCTTTGTTCTAAATTGGAGGGATGAATCTTTATTTTTGCCAAAGTGTTTTCAGTTCTCATTCAATTCTATCAACATATAAAGTTTTTTTTCAATTCTACGCAGTTTTAATTTTAGGAGGTGCACGTCGGATTCACAACATAACTCTTTAAACAATTTTACGTAATGATGGAGATATCCTTATTTTACTATCTGAAAATTGATATTTTTTCAAGAATTAAAAACGAAGTTAACTTTAACATTAACATATAATATGTAAATATATGTACATTATACATTTTACATATTTCTGTTATGTAGAAATTATTATGCTGCATAGAAAGTAATTGTAGCATATATATAATATATTCTACTCCATAAGGGAATTTGATTAGAAGCGGGTTCCCTCCTATATCCTCCTGTATCTGGAGATCTAGGATATGATCTGATCTGATTAATATTCAGGGTTAGTTCGAGTTCTCCGCTCTACTTAGAGATTTATTCCCTAGACAATCTTTTCTAATTAAATCTTATATTTACACCATATCTAGTTAGTATAGGGAATATGACAGGAAGGTTTTCTAATTAAATCTTATATTTACACCATATCTAGTTAGTATAGGGAATATGACAGGAAGGTTTTCTAATTAAATCTT